TTTTACGGATCACTGTGAAATAGCAGGTCTGCAGGAGTTTTAAACAAGCTCCGGCCAACGAAGCGGGAAAAGATAGGAAACCACCACACGACGGGATCAGTTTTAAAACCCCATTCGAAAGCGGCATCTATGCCACGATGAGCATCGCTAAAGATAAGGCGAAGGTTTCTGGAGAAAGATCTGGACAAGTCGAAACCACTCATCACATATCACTGTGAAATAGCAGGTCTGCAGGAGTTTTAAACAAGCTCCGGCCAACGAAGCGGGAAAAGATAGGAAACCACCACACGACGGGATCAGTTTTAAAACCCCATTCGAAAGCGGCATCTATGCCACGATGAGCATCGCTAAAGATAAGGCGAAGGTTTCTGGAGAAAGATCTGGACAAGTCGAAACCACTCATCACATTATTCCGGCTTGATTGTTTTTGTTTTCTTCCCTCTCCTTTCCCCCGCCGGACCTCTGAAAGAATCTTTTGCAAGTACATGTTCCTGTCTCTGTGATGCCACCCATAACACAGAGCATGTTAATACTTTGCAACTGAAGCTCAGAACTTATTTAACTTCTTAAAACGAGTCTGTAAAAATATTTTAAACATAACACTAACATTTTATTTCTCTACTTTCCCAACACTGTGAAGAGACCAGTTAATGACAACATAAATCAGGTTGCTGTTAGACTTTTTTCCCCTATCGGGTGTAATCCAAAACGAGGAGTAATCCAATAACAATGAGATAATAAGAAAAAGAAAGAAATTTGTTAAATCTTCTTTTGACAAAGTTCATCCTCACTGACCTGGCGACTGATTTTCAGCAGAAGTTTCACCCTCCTCACTTATATGTCTTGGTTTTTAATTGGGAAATCAAACTAAAATTTTGTTCCTAAAATGACTGATGACAGTAATGGGGGTATTATCATGGATGGCCTTTGCCTGAATGGAATACACAATCTAAGTTTGTCAACAACTTCCAGATGCATAGATGTGCTGTACAGGAAAATGAAATTTCCACTCTTCAGCTGGGTTTAACTATTATGTTATAGGGACCTGCAGTGAGTTATCTTCTCCTTTCTTCTTCTCTTAAATTCTTGGCTTGCTATTTTTGATTGTGCAATGTATATGTTCCACAGATTTATTTTATATTACAGTATTTGTATATAATTATATAAAATAGCTTGGTTGTACCTTTTAAAAGGACATAAAGTATAAACTGAACAACATTACTTCGTGGAAGCAGATAATTATAAAGAAACACGGGGAACATAACCAATTCAGTGCCAAGATTATATGATAATTCAAAACAATCCTATAAATTGTGACACTTGAATTGGAAAATGGTATATTATAAATACAAATTTAAAATGTGAGTTCTTTGTAAGATCCTTGGAGTAGATAAAAAAAATTAGAATTAAGAAGATATCATATAGACAGCTTTGTCTGATAAGCAACTTCCAAGATGGAATAGATCTTCCAGTCTTTCAGTACTCTCCCAGTGGGCTCATCGTTATGTCTGAGAATGGCATGAAATAGCACATGAAGTTTACAGTATTCTTTCCATCTACTAAATAACTAATATTCAGTGATAAGAGTCTGAATACTTTTCTATTAAATTCAAAAAATTCTTGAACAAAGCATTTTTAGCTTTTGTGGATACTAATATTAGCATGGTAACATGCTTTCTAGTGCTGTCTCACACTTGTAAAGAGAGAGAAAAAAAGAGACAGAGAGAGAATTTGTTAGTACATTTTTAAAAGGCTTTTTTTTAAAAAAAATCCATATATACAGGTATTTTGTAATTTCCCCGTAGGTTTCCACAGGTAAACTTGATTTTCCTATAGAACCAAAATGTCTACACACTATAACTGTAATAAGTCAGATAGAAAAAAGTCCTTAACCTAGATAGTTTTCTACAGTTTCCTAGCATTAATGAGTGGTAATATTACAATTCAGAATCACTAAGTATAAAGATGATTTTCACTATACAGCATTTGTAAAAAAGAAAATAACTTTATATGGATTGCAGCTGTGACTAGGGTGCTGGACCAGTTTGTACAGTGAGGATGCTGAGAGCCATTGAAACAAATTGTAAGCTCTGTATATGATGGAATCCAGTTCAAGCCAGGGGAGCTGTAGCCCTCCAGTACCCTATGTCAGGTATGTATAGTTGGGACTAGGGTTGGCTAAGAATAGAAAGAATAAGAACTAGGTAAATTCATGGAGGTTAGGTCCATTAATGTCTATTAGCCAGGATGGGGAGGAATGGTGTCCCTAGCCTCTGTTTGACAGAGGCTGGAAATAGATGACAGGAGAGGGATCCCGTGATGATTACGTGTTCTGTTCACACCCTCTGGGTCATCTGGCATTGACCACTGTTGGAAGACAGGATACTGAGCTAGATGGACTTTTGTTCTGACCCAGTATAGCTGTTTTTATGTTCTTATGTAATAGAAAATATAAGGGTTTTTTTTTCAAGAGGAAAGCTAGGATAGTGGACAATAAAGAGATATATGCTTGCATTGAGTACAATGGTACGACAAACACTTATAACCTGCAATATATAAATATTCTAATTTTTCTATATTTCATACATTATGTTAATTGTTTGAACATAAAATCCTTCAAAATTTAGCAACAAATAATGTATATTTATTTTCACATACAAACACAAATTAAGTTACTGAACTTCTTTAAAAAAACACACACTTATTTTTTCCTCAGCAACATTTTCAAATTGATCTGCCTGCCTGACCATCAGAAGCTGGGCTAAAACTGGCAGCTTTGCAAAATCCTTTACACATTTTTAGGTAACTACTGTATCCTAAAGACAGTAGTGGATTTTGCCCCCACAG